TGCTTAAAGTCCGTGGGTGGTCAAAAGCTACAACACTCAGACAGCCCAGTGCGGTGGCTCATGTGCGGCTGCTTGCGGGTGCTAAAGCACATCTACTCGCTATCTCAAATACCCGTCCTTTGACGCATCTGTGGTGTCAAAGTGATCAAACGAGCAATTTGGTACGTCTTTGTTAATTCTCAAAGCGACCAAACAAGCGCTACAGGCGTGGATGGTCAAAAGCGAACCGCTCAGGCAGCCAAGGGCAGGGAAAAAGTGTGTTGGCATTGCTCATTGACTCATTCCCGATTCACGACAGGTGCAATTTGCAAGAAAGTCTGCACGAGGTGGTGCACATGTGCATCCGCAGTCATTGTCGACTTGCGACTCACCTGCGTGCGAACGCTGAAGTCTCTAGAGCAAGCTCCCGTGCATGCTCCATTCAAGCGTCTGACCGCGCAGGTTTCGCCAGAACCACAATCTGTTCGGGTGGCTCTCGGTAGCTGAGATTCTCAACTAGGCGGGCAGGCCATCGGCAGGCAAACCTATCCAGCAGGCCAAAGCCAAGCAAGCTGCGCGCTGTGGTGCCCCAGGACGTTGGCAACGATTTCCGCCACTACATGAAGCGAGGTCAATTTCCAAGGATCAACCAAAGCGATTCACGTTCATCAGCCATATCCTTCATTGCGCCTTTTTGGGCCTGCAAAATGCTCAAGCACTCAGCAACTCTTGGCCCCAGGGTCTCCAAAGTCCAGACAAGAATGTTGATTTCCGCAATGTGCACAACCAGACCTGGGCATTCAAAACTCTGCCAATACATCAAAAGTCACCATCCAAGAATAAGTCGAAAGTGCCTTCGAAATCCTTGCCTCCTGGCCAAGGATTACCCAAACAGACCCCAAAGCACCCCATTTTCCAAATTTCAACACCTAGAGCCTTCTTGAAAGTTCAAATATGCGGGTTGCCACTATCACAAAAAGGGTCAAAAACTTCGAACTAGATTGATATGCCAAAATCAAACATCATCCCACTTCCCCGGGAAAAACAGTGACTCTGACTGTGCGCCTGCGCGCCCGCGTTTGCGCGCATGTGTGCGCGCATGCGTGCGGGTGCGAGAGTGTGTGTGTGGGTGGGTGTGTGTGTGTGTGTGTGGGTGCGTGCGTGCGTGCGCGTGCGCGTGTGTGTGCGCGCGCGTGTGGGTGTTTGTGTGTGTGTGGGCGTGAGCGTGCGTGTGCGTGCGCGCGTGTGGGTGTTTGTGTGTGTGGGTGGGTGTGCGTGTGCGTGTGCGTGTGCGCGTGTGGGTGTGTGTGTGTGTGTGGGTGGGTGTGCGTGTGCGTGTGCGTGTGCGTGTGCGTGTGGGTGTGCGTGTGCATGTGCGCGTGTGCGCGTGTGCGCGTGTGTGCGTGTGTGCGTGTGTGCGTGTGTGCGTGTGTGCGTGTGTGCGTGTGCGCGTGTGCGCGTGTGCGCGTGTGCGTGTGTGCGGCTGTGCGTGTGTGCGTGTGTGCGTGTGTGCGTGTGTGCGTGTGTGCGTGTGTGCGTGTGTGCGTGTGTGCGTGTGCGTGTGCGGGTGCGCGTGTGCGTGTGCGTGTGCGTGTGCGTGTGCGTGTGTGTGTGTGTGTGTGTGTGTGTGTGTGTGTGTGTGTGCGTGGGTGTGTGTGTGTGTGTGCGTGAGTGTGTGTGCGTGAGTGTGCGTGTGTTTGTGTGTGTTTGTGGGTGTGTGCGTATGGGTGTGCGGGTGTGCGGGTGTGTGTGTGTGTGTGCGGGTGTGCGGGTGTGTTTGTGTGTGTGTGTGTGTGCGGGTGCGTGGGTGGGTGGGTGGGTGGGTGGGTGGGTGGGTGGGTGCGTGCAAGCGTGCGTGCGGGCGGGCGGGCGGGCGTGCGGGCCGGCGGGCGTGCGTGCATGTGCGTGCTTGCGTGCGTGCGTGGGTGCGTGTGTGTGTGTGTGTGTGTGTGTGTGTGGGTGGGTGCGTGCGTGCTTGGGTGGCTGTGTGTGTGTGTGTGTGCGTGTGCGTGCGCGTGTGCGTGTGCGTGTGCGTCTGCGTGCGTGCGTGCGTGCGTGCGTGCGTGCGTGCGTGCGTGCGTGCGTGGGTGTGTGGGTGGGTGGGTGGGTGTGTGTGCGTGTGCGTGCGTGCGTGCGTGCGCGTGCGCGTGTGCGTGTGCGTGCTTGGGGGTGCGCGTGCGTGAGGGTGCGCGCGCGTGCATGTGCGTGTGCGGGTGTTTTTGCGTGTGTTTGTGTGTTCGGTTTGTGTGTTTGTGTTTGCGTGTTTGCACGTTTGCACGATTGCGTGTTTGTGTGTGTGGTTTTTGTGTGATTGTATGTTTGTGTGTTTGTGTGTTTGTGTCTGTGTTTCTGTGTGTCTGTGTTTCTCTGTGTGTGTGTGTGTGTCTGTGTCTCTGTGTGTCTGTGTCTGTGTCTGTGTGTGTGTCGTGCGTGCGTGCGGGTGTGGGTGTTGTGTGTTTTGTGTATGTGTGTGGGGTTGTGTGCGCGTGAAACACCTTGGAACACAGGTGCGTATTTTTGTCAACCAAAAAAGCAGGGGACTCGCTACCATGCCCAACGAAGCTATGCGAGGCCAGGCCAAGCATACAAACCAAAGCCCACCTGAGGTTCCGAGTAAGAACTTGAGTTTGGATGAAGGCGCTCTGTCAAGTACTCTCCACTCAAATATCGTTCTTGAAGCTTTCTCACACTTGTCTTTTGGGGTTTCACTAAATCACCGAAAGCCTATCTCTGGACCAGAGAGTTTAGCCTGTCTCTGATGTAGTGGATTGACATTTAGACCCGGCATACAGCTTTCAAAATCAAACCTAGTACGAAGCGCCTCCCGTGTCGGGGGGCCCGCGCATGACGGGCCTTGGCCCAACGGGAGACTGTGGCCCTTCCAAAGGCAAGAAACCCGAGTGGGGGGGGCATGGCGTTTCTCTCCCCTTTTGTGGGCTTCAAGGAAAACCAAGACGACACCCATGATTTTGGTGAAAGCCCCCGGGGACAAACCAATGTAACGAGACAATTGCCTTCCAGTAATCCCAGTCCGGTCCTATATTCGGTCTGCGAGTAGATCGCTTATCGACACACGTGCTGTCAACTTCGGTGAGCGATTAAAATGTGCTCTGATGAGAACAAGGTATGGGGCTTTCTAAGGCGCATGAAACCAAACAAGTCACTTGCAGCATCAAAGCCCCGCCCTTCGGTTGGTCTTGATTCCTTTTGACACCCTCTCCTGTATTAAAACCAAAAAGCAATTACTGAAAAGGTGATGTGTAAGTATGAGTCATGATCCTTGTCTGACCCAACCCAACAGGGAATACAATGTCGAATACTTCATCCGAACAATCATCGGGTGGCCAATGAGGATCTGGAACATTCAAAAGATCCAATTCCTGTTGATTTCCTTTGTGGACAATCAACACATGGGATACTTAGCCCTCAGATCAGTAAGGCGCTTCCAATGCATCCGAATTCTATCTTCTGGGCTGACAACCCCCATCCCCAGTGTCCGCCGCCCCCAACCCAGGAATTGAGCTCACCAAGGTTGCAACAACCTTCCCGCACACCAAGCAGACCCTTTCCAAGAGAAGAACTTGTCTTCCAAAGCCTTTATCTTGCTACGAAAATCTCGGGGCGAAAGAGCCATAGGCCATTCTTCAAGATCTCCTGAACGCCGCCTGGCTGTCGAATAGAGCAGAACGGATCATGACTCCAGATCCACGATACTTTTCTTGGGTCCTTCGGTTGAGGCTGTGGCGGCGCTTCTCCCCCGTCGTAGCCCGCCGAGCCCGTGGACGCGGTGGGCGGGGGCGGGGGCGGCGGGTCACCCGAGACGTTGCTGAAGGAACGGCCTTGGGGCGCGCCAGACGCACGCGACAGATGGTCTCAAACAAGATTCAAACTAAAAAGGTGCTATATATTTTATTTCCACTGTGGATTGCAACTCGGAGAGCATGAATTCCTCCACCATATATCCGATGGTTCACCTGCAATGCCATGGGAGTCCATAGAAGCTCATTCGCTGTCAAAAACAAGTTTTGACAAACCACGTGGGCTCTTCTTTTTGGTCAGTTTTCAAGGGACACCAAGAGGAACCTAGCCATTTTGGGGGGGTCCCCGAATTTTCAGACCAAGCAATTCTGGTGGCTTCAACTTTCTGCCCGCCAACACATTACGGGGCCATCGATACTCCTCCATACACGCCTGAGAAAGGCCAAGCCTCTGCCTGGAAGAATGTCCGGGGTGTAGCAATCCAGTGTCAAGCGGATTCTTGGGCGTCAAGCCACGCTCATGCACAGGACGTTTCTTGCTCTCCCATGAAGAAAAAGCAACCAATGAATGCCGTGCAACGGCAACGGTGAGTCGCAACTATGAGTGTAAACAAATGATATTCACAGATTGACAGGGCATATTACTTCCCCTTTCTTTGTTTCTCTGACCGTTGGCTGTTTAAAAATTCAAATAGGTATACGCAAACAGTATTGTCTTTACAGGAAGGCAATGGAAAGCAAGCAACTTTGGCGGTGTGCCTGATGGGCAATTAGCACTGTGATGTGGGACTGGTAGCGCAGCCTTCAGACTCATCATTCCAAGAGAATTCCAAAGGGTGTGGCTCACTTGATTTTCCTTAGACGTGAGGGCCAGCCTCAAAGTCTCCATTGTTTGCAAAAGCACCGGGTTCCAGAACGTCAGCCTTTGACCAGCTCCCTTAGCAGAACATCCATCTGAACTTGCCCGACAGGTCCTGGTTCAACCAATCCAAACAAGCGATTTTCCACCTCGCCAACACGTCTGCGGAAGCACGGTGTGGTGCCGCTGCTCATCCAGCAGCATACGGGAGTTGGATTCATGCCTCTGCGCTTTTGGAGCCTTTGGCGTCACATAAGCAGTCGGCAACTCGCTGTGGCGAGGAATACTATTTCCCTGTGCACGTTCATGTTCGGCGGGCGGGTAGTTCACCTGCTATGCGTGCTTCCCTCTGTGGGGAAACAGTCGGTATCAAACACCGTGAGCACTAACCATCGCCTGCTTCCTTACATTGGTTGATTGCGCTCGCCGTCGTCCGGAAACATGTCCTCGTCATAGCCAGCCTGAGTGTTCAATAGGGAGTCTGGAAAATCGAAGATATGCTGGAAATGGTTGTTGTTTGTCATTGATATGCCAGAGAGTCCAACAAGAGATGTTGAATCAACATTTAAATCACCAAGCGTGTTTAATTGTTCTAAAAATATTAGGCTCTCTATGAGTTTTCCGAAACCGGCGGGCACCAAGGAACTTGCTGTCCGATATTTGCAACCAGGAATACCCCATCTCGATTTGGTTGCTTCCTCCATCAAACATCCTGGCTTCTTCGGCCAACACAGGCAGGGGGTTCGACAAATAGAAATGCAGATTCTAGCAATGAGGTAAAAGCCAAGTAATTGCAAGGTTGCTGAGTTGACAAACCATCGGAACTCTGGATATGTGTCCTCTGGATTCTGCGGGCTCCAGAAAAGCGTGCCTGGTCAAAGAAGTTGGGCGCCGTGCTTTCCCAGGGCTCTCAATTCTCTCGCGTTCTTGTCTTTCTTTGAGGCATGGAACCCTGGGAAGGCTTGGGATGGGGCCTCATGTTTCTAAAAACAAGTAACGTTCACACTTGTTAACCCGTTACTAATGGCTTTTCCTATCTAGAGGAACAGGGCCTTTACAAAAGCGACAAACAACATTCTTGGCCTTAGGGAAGTATTGAAGACAATCCCAACATGGAACCCAACCCAGCCCAACACTTATATGGCCATGGGTCATAACCTACCACTCCATTTTGGAGCAAATGAACACCCACGCACCAGGGGTACAAGACCAATCACTTTCCCACGGCCTCCGAGAGGAAGAGCACGGACTCCATGGCGCGGTTCATGTGGGCGAAGCAGAAGGCCTCCTGTGGCAATGAGGAGGGGTGGTCCGGGGTGGTTGGAACCTGTTTGGGACGGGTGCTCACTGCAGCGTTCCTGCCGCATTTTCCATCAAACCATCACCCCTGCCAAGGCAAACTTAGCTTAGGTGGGCCAAAAAGGCTGATGTTCAAGCCACCAAAAGGGAACATGTAGGGACCCCTTGGAGTCATGCTGCTTGGGATCCAATCTTCAAATCATAAAGAAAGAATGGTAGCGTGAGCTTCTGGTCCTGCTGGGAAGGCAGGCAACGCATACAACCAGAGCCACTGACCACCCAGCCAAACAAAAGCAAACATCTTGGTTGCTCTTGACCCCTCTGCAAAAAGTGAACTTCCTTTTGTGGGTCCAATTCGGAAAATCCGACCTATTTCGCACAAAGTTAAAGTCCAGAGATCCAACCAAATAGCCATATTATAAAGATACGGCCACGAGTCAAAATCCCGTACCCCCGGTGAACATCCCAATCCCAACTAAAATAGGTTCTAAAATGGCTGGTGAATTCACTTGCCCCAAAATGGGATCCCATTGGTCTTGACCCATGGCTAATATGAGCAAATCAACAAAAGCCGATCCGCAACATGTCTCCCTTCGCCGGGTGCCGCTGGCTCCTCCACCAGGAACTTGCCCTCAGGGTCAGGTCTCACACTCGGCGTGGCTAGCATGGGATTGAGCTTGGACAATGAAAGGAGCATGCCCGAACAGAAGTTGGTGCATCTATCTGATAAGGTTTACAGGAGGCCAAATAAGGTCTGCAAGCAATCATCCGTCCCCTCCTGTAGGCAACTTTGCAATGTGAGCAATGCAGCAGCCAAATAATACACCCCAAGACAAGAACCTCTATCGGGCTTTATGATCTGCCCATACGGCATCACCTTAGGCGGAACTGGTGGATTGATTTGCAGGCGCTCCCCCTCGTGGGTTGTCCACTCATGGGATTTTCCTTTGAAGCAACCCCACAACGGCTACTCTCAAAAAGCATGTACCCATGTTTGGTACCAGAATTCATGCATGTATGACACCCGGTGTTCAATCAGTCCTCCTGCCTCCTCTTTGTCCAGGCTGGGCATGCCCCCCATCCGGTGCAGCACTCGCAGGGAATCCAGGCTGCTTTCCGCGCAAGCATCGGCGAAGGGCATGCCAGGCCGGCACCCCTGCCTTCGCGATACACACGATTCCCAAAGGAAACGGTACAAATGGGTGTCGGTGTCACTTTTGGAGTTCGTTGAAAGGGTACAGTCACAACTGAAGGTAGTTGAAAACACTCAACATAAGGTAGAAAGGAAGCACAAATCTTGACCTGGCGTTGTATTCCTTGGGAATGACTCGCAATTGGGAAAGTCGTAAAACCGCCCCAATAACAAACAGCAGAGCACCACCACCTTGTTTAAAAATGGCTTCGTCTGGGAGGGTACAGGTAATCAGCTGAGTCGCAAGCAAAAGTAAACGTAGTTGTGTGTGAAGCGGAATCTCCTCAACGGTGGCGGACAATCCCCAACACATGTTATGTGCAAAGCCGGTGTTGGCCTTTTGCATGTTCGTGTTTCTCAGCCCCGACGTCGGAAGGTCTCTGAATAGCTCGCAGCAGTGGTTGCTAGTCGCTGCACTGGAACTTGCCAGGCGGTTGAAGCTTTCCCAAACTGAATAACAAACAAAACCAAGGATGGGAGAACAGAAGATACCCAAAACAAATCACTGTAATTGTTCTCTAAGACCATCGAAAGATAAGGACTCTGTTGGGAACGGCTTCAAAAACGGACGCCTATGAAACCGACCGTTTGGGGCAGTCGAGATTGTCATTTGTCCAACCAAATAAAGCGATAAAAGGTTCACACAATGACTTAATCTGGAACAACACGGCAAACACAGGTTCAACGCCCTAGAGGAAATGCAGGTGGAGGGGGAACATCCTGTCATACCAAAGTGGGCCATCATGACAGATTTGTCACTCGAGGGAACTGTAGACACAGGCAAAGAAGTCTCTGGCAAGTCCTGCCAGGGCATGTCTCAGCCTTTTGGTCGGGGGGCTGGAAGTTTTTCCATTTTTCAAGTAAGGGGCCCTCTTGGTTGACTTCAAAGGAAGACCAAAAGGAAACCCTTGCCGCTTTTTGTGTTCCCCGATTTCGAGAACGCGGGGGAGTAGGATTCCAAATTCACATGTGTCCTGGTCTTCCAAACGCGCTCACACACACACAACATCGCATTGTCTGCCAATGTTGAGAAGAGTTCATGACTGCATTGATGCTCTTGAACACATACTTCCCGTGGACGTGATGCTTGGGAGTTTACCGGTTTACCGGCAAAACAATTTCGCAATTCTATGCGTTTCCCTTCCTGAACGCAAGAAACTCAAAGCCTAAATATATGAAATCGCAATATAAAAGCCATATTTGAATCACTGATGTGAACTCCTACTTCTGCTCGATGGGTTCATTCACCATGAAATATGGCTTTGTGGAAAACCGAGCCCCAGAAAACAGACCCAAGCAGCATTACCATGAGTACAAATATTTGGAGATCCCCGCACACACCCCCTAACAGTATGGATACCGTTGCAGAACAGTAGTTGTTGAAAAATATCCCTTGAAGAATCCCTTGTGTTGGTCGACACCCAAGGTACATCCCAACATTGTATGTTCAGACTCTGGTCGATATTCAGTCCACCCTAACATATCAAAAAGACCCCAGCTCTATCCTCGCCAAGCAACGAAAGGAAGTACTCCAGTGCCGGTGCACAATTCCAATGCAGCGCCCAGTGGGCCATGGCATTCCTTGGCGTGCTACAGCTTCACGCACTACATTTGGACACAGGATGGTTGACACCATAGTTTCCAGGTTTGTTCCAATCCACGTGTCTACATAAAGTTAATAAATTCCATTCGGCTCAGGGTTTGCTAGGTCCCTCTGTGCTGCGTTTTCACACTGCAACACACCACTGGTTGCCCTGCAAGTCTGTGCTTTGGATTACGTTGGGCTTGGTCTGCTTCCTGTTCTCGAGGTGGCTCTGGGTCCCAAGCTCGTGTTCAACGACGGGCCGACCCACAGCTAGGGGCCGCAGAAATGGGATGGCCCGGAAGCAGCTCCTTTAGCTCACTGGGTCTTGCGCCCGCTGGTTTATTCCTTCCCGTCAAAGTTGGACAAATATGGCTCCCTGACCCCCATCTGAAGTCCCAGAGCTGTAAACAAATAAACTGTGTTGTTGGTGTTCCTTCTGGCTTCCCTTTAAAACCACCCCCCCTTTTCAAGGGTTCCCCCAAAAACAAGGAGAGCCGGGGAGCCACAAAACCAAGCAAATCACAAAGCAAGTGCCCGCAAAGAGCAACACCAACAACGAAAACAACGACCTGCTCCTTGGTTCATGAAGTGGAAACCAACGGTGCGCCCCTTTCAGCCTTCCAAGAGCTTTTTCGGTCACATGTTGCTCCCCTTTCACCACAAGCTGACGTGCGGCCTTCACGCAGTTAGGGCTTCAAAAGAGTTTTGGGTCGTATAGTGCGCCCCCGTCACCACGAGCTGCCCCGAAGGTACTTTCCCAAACTCTCGGACCGGTAGCATAGTCCCCAGTCTCCGGACCAAATCTCACCGGTACAAACGACGATTGGAACACTGCGTGCGTCAGGGCTCATCGCAAGGAGTGTCCCCAAGGTTCCCTCCAAGACTGGCCGCAGTGTCTCCGGGACAAATTTCACCGGCGCACGGGCCCCGGCACCGTCATCGGTCAATTGCTTGCCGGATCTAATCCCACCTCCGGCAGGCACTCACCTTTGGGCAACTCTTACCGGCACGCGAACGGCTCGGTTCTCACGATGTGATTCCCACCGGCGTCCTCCGTCACCTCCAAAGCTCGGCCGTTTCCCAGCCTGCGGCGTTTACACTGTTTACACCGTGTACTGAACTCTCGGAACGCTTCCGGCCAGAATGCCACCGATCCCTCGCCTTGAATTAGACGAGAACCCAACCCCCTAAAAACTCGGTCCTCCAGTAGAGAGTTTAAAATAAGGGTACCCTTTTTTTTCTGTAGTCTGCTTTAGTAGGGAAACCCTCCCCCCAAAAAAGGGGTAGAGAAGGGCACTACTGGGGGGCCTAGAAAAGTTGTTGGGCCGAGGCGCAGCGCCGAGTTGGATTGGATGCTCGGCTCCTCCAGTCCCGGGAAGCGGCGCTGGCAGGCCGCCAGGAGCTCCCCGTGCTCGATGAGGGCGCCCTGCTCGTGCAAGATCCGCACCTCTGAGACTGACTTCCGCGTGTTAATTTGTAAGCAAATCATTTTCAGAAAATGATGTTGACTTTAAAGTGTTCGTTACAAAGAGGTTTCTGCTCCAGGGCTGAATTGTCAGGTCACTGGATATGTCAGGTTGCCAAATGCCGGGGAATGTTTTGTCTTTTAACTTAATTGTGTTTTCCCGTGTTCACCCCGGCGAGTCGATGAGGCACTTCTAAATGATTGGTTTGCTTGTTGGGTTGCTTTTGGACAAAAATCATTGGACTTTGTGAATGGCTTGCCATGAACACAACACCGCCAGCAACTCCATGCCGACCAACAGTAACGCTCAATCCATTCTGGCGAGAACCCTGAAAATTCAAGTTGACATATTCTGATGACCCAAAGCTTGCTTTTTGAGCGCTCCGGTGTCGTTTGAGCTGTGGTGGATCAGTTTGGAACCTCCTAACACATGGGGCTGTCTCACAATCGATGGTTCCCCTTTGGTTTGACAGTTTACCACTCAAGCGTGGAATTTGTGCAGAAAGGATGATCTGTAGGTTGTCTTCTTGCGAAGCCTTCCAGTCGTTTGCGCAGTTCTGTCTGCTGAGAGAGCATTCCGTTGGAAGGGGCCCATCGGGCTCTGGTGCACTGCACTCAAACACATGTATGTATGTCTTTGCAGGGTACCTGTTCTGGTTTTCTTGAACATATAACCTCCGAACGATGGTTGTGTCAGGCCAAACAGCGTCCCTAGCGTCAGCCAAGCGGCGCAGTCTCGGAATGCTTCTGGCGTCTTGCACCTAGCGCTACACTGTGGGTCAAAGCTACGGTCAAAGGCCAAATGAACCCAGGCTATGTCGCCCAGATGCCCCTACATAAGGGGTTCTTGCCAGGGAATCGTGCCAGGGCTTCTTACCGGGGATTCATTTGTTCAGCTGAATTTGAGAAAGTGTCTGTCAATGTCCAGCGAGCAAAAAGGGGCGTCAGCAAACAGTCAAGCCATTGTTGCCCTAAACACAAAGCTTGCTCCGCGTGAGGACCGTGAAATTGTCTTTTATGATCAACTGCTTGCAAAATGCGATGTGAGCGATGTCCTAAACGTGCCATGATTTACTATGCTGTATCATTTTGCTTCCACCCACCTGCTTACGCCACCTTGCGCGCTTGAGAGTTGTTGACGCACAGGTCATATGACATGACTCTTCTTGTGAGAACTGCCATTGGCGATTGTTTGCCATTGCTGGAGCACCACGTTAGGTAAGCTGCTCTGGAAATAACGGCCGATTGAAAACACGCCTTGGCCTGCGCTTGCTGAGTACCAGCGGATGGAACTTCAGGCGCAGCATGGCGCAGCACTTGCAGAACTGACGCCTATCTGATAAACCCCACGGCTTCTGGGGCTTGCTGTACCCCGAGATGACAATGCACTTGTGCGAATCAATTGCACCTGAACTTGTGCCAACAACTGGACCACAGTGACTGCCACCCACTATGAAGGTCAACAATGCCTGGATCCACGACATTCAAGCGTGCACAAACGGTCCAAACAACTTGCTGTCCAGCAAAGCGTTGCAGCTGATCTGGTCGGGATGCCCCTTCGCCTTGGGAAGGGCGCCAAACAGATTCAATTCTTGCTTCCACTAGCGTCCTTCTCGCACGCACTACTGGTTGTATTGCAGCCGATCTGGTCGGGCTTCATCTTTGCCTTGCTCAAAAAGGCTCAATGCTTGCTGCCACTGCCCGCCCTTCTCGCAAGCGCTAATGGTTGCATTGAGGCTGATCTGGTTGGGCTGCACCTTTGCCTTGGGCATAGACCCAAATAGGTGCAATGCTTGTTGCCACTGCCCACCCTGCTCGCATGCACCGATGGTTGCACTGTAGCTTGTCACATTCGGCTGCATCTTTGCCTTGGGCATGGACCCGAAAAGGTTCAATGCTTGCTGCCACTGCCCGCCCTTCTCGCATGCGCTAATGGTTGCATTGTAGCTGCTCTGGTCGGGCTTCATCTTTGCCTTGCTCAAAAAGGCTCAATGCTTGCTGCCACTGCCCGCCCTTCTCGCAAGCGCTAATGGTTGCATTGAGGCTGATCTGGTTGGGCTGCACCTTTGCCTTGGGCATAGACCCAAATAGGTGCAATGCTTGTTGCCACTGCCCACCCTGCTCGCATGCACCGATGGTTGCACTGTAGCTTGTCACATTCGGCTGCATCTTTGCCTTGGGCATGGACCCGAAAAGGTTCAATGCTTGCTGCCACTGCCCGCCCTTCTCGCATGCGCTAATGGTTGCATTGTAGCTGATCTGGTCGGGCTGCACCTTTGCCTTGGGCATGGCCCCAAACAGGTTCAATGCTTGCTGCCACTGCTCACCCTTCTCGCATGCGCTCACGGATGCATTGTAGCTTATCACATTGGGCTGCACCTTTGCCTTGGGCATGGCATCAAAAAGGTCCAATGCGTGTTGCCACTGCCCGCCCTTCTCGCATGCGCTAATGGTTGCATTGTAGCTGATCTGGTCGGGCTGCACCTTTGCCTTGGGCATGGCCCCAAAAAGGTTCAAACCTTGCTGCCACTGCCCGCCCTTCTCACACGCACTAATGGTTGCATTGTAGCTCACCTGGTTGGGCTGCACTCTTGTCTTGGGCATGGCCCTAAAAAGGTCCAATGCTTGTTGCCACTGCCCAGCCTTCTCGCATGCACTGATAGTTGCACTGTAGCTCGTCACATTCGGCTGCATCTTTGCCTTGGGCATGGACCCAAAAAGGTCCAGTGCTTGCTGCCACTGCCCGCCCTTCTCGCATGCGCTGATAGTTGCACTGTAGCTTGTCACATTCGGCTGCATCTTTGCCTTGGGCATGGACCCGAAAAGGTTCAATGCTTGCTGCCACTGCCCGCCCTTCTCGCATGCGCTAATGGTTGCATTGTAGCTGATCTGGTCGGGCTGCACCTTTGCCTTGGGCATGGCCCCAAAAAGGTTCAATGCTTGCTGCCACTGCCTGCCCTTCTCACATGAACTAATTGTTGCATTGTAGCTCACCTGGTTAGGCTGCACTTTTGTCTTGGGCATGGACCCAAAAAGGTCCAGTGCTTGCAGCCACTGCCCGACCTTCTCGCACGCGCTGATGGTTGCACTGTAGCTTGTCACATTCGGCTGCATTTTTGCCTTGGGCATGGACCCGAAAAGGTTCAATGCTTGCTGCCACTGCCCGCCCTTCTCGCATGCGCTAATGGTTGCATTGTAGCTGATCTGGTCGGGCTGCACCTTTGCCTTGGGCATGGCCCCAAACAGGTTCAATGCTTGCTGCCACTGCTCGCCCTTCTCGCATGCGCTCACGGATGCATTGTAGCTTATCACATTGGGCTGCACCTTTGCCTTGGGCATGGCGTCAAAAAGGTCCAAAGCTTGTTGCCACCGCCCGCCCTTCTCGCATGCGCTGATGGTTGCACTGCAAATGATGTGGTCAGGTTGCACCTTTGCCTTTTGTAAGGCCCCAAAAAGGTTCAATGCTTGCTGCCACTGCCCGCCCTTCTCGCATGCACTGATGGTTGCACTAAAAATGATATTGTCAGGGTGCATCCTTGCCTTGGGCATGGCCCCAAAAAGGCTCAATGCTTGCTGCCACTGTCTGCCCTTCTCACATGCACTGATGGTGGCACTGTAGCTTATCACATTGGGCTGCGTTTTTGCATTGGGCATGGCCCCAAAAAGGTCCAATGCGTGTTGCCACTGCCGGCCCTTCGCGCACGCACTGATAGCTGCACTGTAGCTGATCACAGTGGGCTGGGCCTTTGCCTGGGGCATGGCTGACAGCATGAAGCAAGCAACCTGCCATGCTTTTTGCTTTGCGCAAGTGGACATCTTGATATTGTACTTGCGAGTGAGCGAATTGAGCGTTGCTTGTCCAATATGCTTGACTTTCTCTTGGCCATCGTCTTCATGCTTTCCTGTCCTCCGGGTGCATAAACATCTCGTAATATCAACCGTACATTTCTGTTGAACTGCATAGTTGCGTGCGGAGTGTATGGCCCGCATACGTCATACCCAGACGACACGGACGTCATACCCAAAGTCACCAGCACATAGCATGGCTCAGCTGTTGACTGAATACGCACATCTTGGGCCAAGTTTGGCCGACATGTCTATGACTCCGCACAATTTACTTTGAGGGGTATCAACTAGATGCCCTTCATTTGCATTACATGTTCATCTGATGCTACGCTTTAGAACAGCCCTCACAGAAGCTAGCAGGCAACCTTTGCTGCGAAGGGCCGACACGGGCTGCAAAGTCGTCTGTTGCTTGCAGACATTGCGCTTGCAGGCTTGCATGACACGCAAACACGGAGAATCAAAAACGGCGCTCCATTCATAGCCTTACTCCTTAGTCAATGATAGATCGCAGCTCGGATTGAGGACTAAATCCAATGCAACAAATAGCTGCGAGAAACCATCCGAACTGACCCAATATAGACAAAGCCTCAGGAAAAATATTCGGATGCTTATAGGAGATGCAACTCTTTTTGCTGCAGGGCGGACAGCGTTCAAAGCCGGCCCCAAAGGTTACCCGTGCTTTCAGCCTGACCAGAAATGCGCGGGAGCTCATTCAGGACCTGGTTTCAATCCTGAAGGGCTGATCGTCGACATGCTCAGATAAGCCAGGGACAAGATAGTGATCCCCCTTCCTACAAACTTCTTGTGATTTTGGTTGTCCAAGTCCGCTCCCTATTGAGCTGGCTGCTACGTTGAAAGCCCTGCTCAGCTACTGCAATCGACTGCCCACCAGGGTGGTGTGGTCTCATGCGGCTCTCGTAATAGCACGTGGGCCCCAGGGTTCTACTGTACCCTTTTGAACACCCCACCGGCAGGAAACCGAAAGCTAACTTCACGAGCTGCTAGCAAGCGTGCGCGCCAGCTGTCGCAGCGTCAGCACCCGACCGGCCCGATGCAGCTCACCCGATCAAAAGCGTGGCAACAAGGGCGTGCAGCGGAAACTAAGCTTCCACTTGTGGCGCATGTCATGAATGCAAAAGGCATACTGTACCTGACCGTTGTCGACCATTGCCCGATAACTGTAACTCTTCGGCGCTACATGATGCTCTTGTGGGTGGCCTACCCCGCTGCGCTACTTCAATTTGCCGCTGGCATGCCGCACCTCCGTAATACAATTCCCACCCCTCCCGCAACCCCCTGATTTTTGCATACGTGAAAATATGTTCAGGCGGTGTTCAGGCCGTATTTGAGGGAGAACAGCGAGGCGGGGGGGGGGGGTTGGGGAACGGTTCTTGTTTGGAAGCGGATCAACACAAACAACAAACGGGTTCCCCCAAACAAAACACAAGCGCATGTGTGATTCTTCCCGACCCCCCCCCAAGCTGGCGGGGTCTTGTGGCTGCTCTCAAACAAACTAATTCCAAACAAGGACATTCGATATAACCAAAACACGGCACCTTCTGGACAAATGGATGGTCGGATGGTGAATGAATAAACTGCACTCAGTGGAATCCGAAAAACCAGTTGGAGGTTGATCAAAATTCCTGGCCCCCAAATGACCATGGGTAACTTTGCCCATTTTGTGGCGAAAGTCATCTTTTTTGCTGGTTTCCCGTAATGGTAATCCCATAGAAAGGACCTTTTGATCACCCCCTCCGTAGGGTCCAAACCACCATGAAAACAAGGGGGGTTCATATAACCACCATTGTTTACCTATCGATCATCATCCAATTTGGGTCTTTGCCATTCTTTTGATGGGAATCGGTTGAACCCTATAGGGCCCGGTTCTTTCTGGGAATGCTGGTGCTCAGGGAATAAGGGAATGATCCTTATAAACCCTCCAACTGATGGTTTCCTTTAGGGGTAATCCCTGCATACATTCCCCTGGGTCCTCCAGCAGAGAGGCTGGAGAAAGGGTACCCTTTTTTCTGTCGTCCACTTAGTAGGGGCCCTCCCCCAAAAGTTGGTAAAAGGGCACCTGGCTGGACCTAGTCCCACCTCCCCTTCTGAGAAAGTTCCTTAGGAATGATCCTTGCCAACCATCCAACTGGTGGTTTCCTTTAAGGGGAATTTGTGGGTACATCCCACCTCCCCTTCTAAGCAAGTTCCTTCGGGCCGTTTTTTTTGCCGCGCCCCAACGCGGCGAGGCGCCTGCCAGGCATCGCAGAGCTCCACGCGAAGAGCTCCGGCGGCACGTCGGCCGTGGGCGCCAGCGCGGCGACCGCGGGCGCCTGGCCCTCGTACAAAGCCGCCAGCACAGCGCCTGGGTTTCAGCGGGACTCACATGGCCATGGGTCCAAAGCCAAATCGTACCCCCAGTGAACATCCCAATCCCCAGAAAAATAGACGGAAATGGGTGGTGCACCTACCCATTTCAGATGGTACTGTTGGTTTTGACCCACAGCCATATGGAATTCACGTGGAACTCACCAGAACTGCGGAGATGCGAATCTCCTTTCGGGGACCCCGAAGAAGAAGAAGAAGAAGAAGAAGAAGGGCGGGTGAGAGAAACTGGGGGTCCAGTGATGGACAGTGAAACGGTAAGGAGGCTTTCCGGAGCAGCGAAACTGAGGTTTCAAGCTGGGGTTCAAGCTGTGTCATCCTGAACGTTGGCCCCCGGGACATATATCAAACATCAGCTTGTCTCCAACCAGGCAAACCACCCTAGTTTCCCATGTATTTGCTTCCCAGGTTGACTTGGCCATCTCTCACCCAACCAAATGGGGAACCTCATAGTGTTAACCCCGGATTCAAGTGGCAGATTCATAGTGGTGTCACTGTGGATCCGTTGCACCCCTATCAAAGTCTTGATTTCATCCGTCATCGGTGTCGTGGTCCTTCTGCCACGGCATGGGGGCAATGCTGAGATGCTGAGTTCCAACCTGAGTTCTTATTGAGGGTAACCCAAAATAACTTCTGGCAATCCAAACTTCCAGGAGTTGCACCTCCTATTGATCCGCTAGGGATCCAGCGAGCCACTGTCAAACACTTCCAGAATCATGTTACACAGGTTGCTCTTATCCAGTCAAATTCAACAACATAATAATGTGGATGGACGAAATGCATTTCGCACCACCTGAGAAACCATGGGACACCATAACGCTTGTTTGTGTTTGCAGGGGAATCATCAGAAACCAGGGTTTGTTAGGTGGCGCGAAATGCATTTCGTCCATCCACCGTATCTTTCAATGTATCTGAGACAGGACCTGCGGAAAGATCCGAGCCATGGGTCAAAGGCCAAATCGTACCCCCAGTGAACATCCCAATCCCCACTAGAATAGACTGAAATGGGTGGTGAATTCACCTACCCCAAAATGGGATCCACTTGCTTTTGACAACCACAGCCATCCGAGTCATGCAGCTTTCTAAGCCGAGCCGCCCAGTCGCCGACCCTGCTCTGCGGAGGGCAGGCGAAGCACCTGCCGTTCACGCCCGGGGGAAAGGGGGGGGGGGTGGGTGCGGGGCCGGAAGAAAAACAAAACACAAGGACAAGTGAAATGGCTGTGGGTCAAAACCCTGTACCCCCTGGTGAACATCAAAACAGGTGATACATGGGCGTTCATCCGCCCCAAAATGGAGGCATAGGTTACAACCCATGGCAAAATGACCGTGTCTCTTTTGGAGGATGATACGAGTGTTTTCAAACCGGTGGTTCCTTCTCGGGTGTCTTTGCAGAAGCTGGGAAACGAGACAGTCAGGGATCCCCTCTTTTGGATGGCTGTTTCAAGGCCACCCGAAGAAAACCAATCGGGTTTGAGCACACGTGAGTAGGGGAAACTATTGCGAAGAAGTTGAACAATGGCCGACATCCATGCAAACGAAAGATAAGGGACACCGCACTTGATTGGAATGGCTTGTCAGATGCGAGTCTCTTTCCATTCCTTCTTCGAAATGGTTTAAGGAGCAACTCTACAACGCATCACTGAAGCCCAACTGAAGAAGCGCAAATCAGTTTTTTGCTTTGACAGCAGGTCTGCGGTATATGAGGTATGCCGTCCTTGGATGCAGGCGGGAACCACCCATTTTGCAGGGTTTCCTGTCGCACACCATGGGGACTCCAAAAGGCAATGGTGGCCACATCGAAGGATCTGGAAGTTTCGGAAGCGCGCAAGTGGTACATGGAACGACCCCGTACTGAAAGATTCCCTTCTGTTGACATGTGTGCACAAATCTTACAAAGGGTGGCATCAAACAAAACAAACCCTTTGAACATTGAAAACAGGCTCCACGACAACACCATTTGGAGTCGGTACCCGTTTTGCTGCTTCCTTTCAAGAAACCCCCAACCCCTCCCCCCGCCCAGGTTTTCTCGATTTAAGTCAGAATCAAAGGTATTCAAAGGTCTACCCAAATCCATGCAAAGAATCAAAAGGCGGCCGCGCCCAGTTGTGGCTGGGAGTGTCCCTTGCTACCCTCCCATCACCCGCGTTTTGATTGGAACGCCGATGCCTGCCACGCTGCGATGCCCGCAGCTTCCGCCTCCGGCTGGTCTGCGGGGCTCAGCAGCCGGAGGCCGGCGGTGCGGAGCTGTGTCAGCTCCATGAGGCGTTTTCCAGGGCGCACATCCGGATGGAGGGGTGGGTTGTGGTATATTTTTGGGGTGCCAAGGAAGCCTTATCTTGAGCTGTTGGGGTTCTTTGAACGGAGAAAGCCAACGCTGGTTTTGTTTGGAAAAGAGGGATGTCCGATTTCTCAGTGCTTTTTGGTTTCCAGGGGGTTGGCTTGGGTCAGGTGACTTCCAGGATTCTCTCAACCTTTGGTCCGGCCGAGCGTCAGGGCGTCCACAAATTGCGTCAACAACGGCGCCCTCTGTGCGCCCCGGGCCCATCTTCGCCGTGGGGGAGGCGGCCGGCCCAGAGACGGAGGCCATGGCCATGCCCTAAACGGATCGAGCAGGGGGCAATGGCTCGCTTGAGTGGCTTCCCCAAAAGTCCAGGAGCTTCTTATGTACCCTTCCTCACACCAACATGGCTGTGGGAGGGTAGCTGGAAGATCAGCTTCCTGTGAATGCCATGTTAGGAGGGATAACCCCAAAACCCGAATCCCGAAACCGCAGGAAATAAAATGGTCCAACCCCCAGAAGCGACGAAAGTCCATGAACTCAGGAAGTGAGATGACCAAACATGGTTGCCAAACAGTTGAAACCAAAAGGTCAAAAGGTCAACTTTGAGCAAGTGAGCGGAAGTGGTTCCGGTCCTCGGTGCCCCGCAACCGGGTTGAGTGCTTCATTTCTACGGGTGCCAACAAAAGGGGGTCCCGAAGGATTTGAGGTTTGGTCTTTTTCTTGATGCCCTGTCTGGGGTGGGCTGAAAGGAAGTGATACATGGCTCATGCTGTCCTTGAATCCCACACACCAGTTTGGATAGAGACAGCAAACAACTAGACGGGGACCAGGTATGTTCGAGGGTTGTTGACGGCACCCTTAAGGGAAACCGTATTTCAGAGTGAAGTTCCATGTCCCCTTTCGGGCTCGCGCGTTTCGCGTTGGACATCTGAATGGGGGCCAAGCCAAAGTGTGAGGAGCTGAGTGATGTCAGGCCACCAAAACACATACGCTTTGCATGCCCGTCCCCCATACAGCACTTGGGGGCTTGCAGGAAGCGCCAGATCCCGTCCCCAGTGACTGATTCAAAACGCTGGGTCAAAGCTCGAAACAAAAAGCCACCAAGGTGAGACATACTGAGTGTATAACATATAGGTGGCTAAATAATTATATGCATTCTTGACATATGACATTTTACAGAATCCTGCAACGCGACTCTAATGCTTTAGTCAGAGGGACCAAACTCGGTCCGCCTTTATGGGTCCAACTAACTGGCCCGTTTGGTTTAGGCTCTGAAGTCGACCTCAAACACTCCCAGCCACGCCTGGTTCGCCTGCACCATGCCGGCGGCCATAGCGCCGGTGCCTCAGGGGACCCACCCCGTGTGCTTTGGGTCAGGTTGGGGGGTTTATGGGTCTGTCTTGTTTGTGGGTGCCCTTCTGGGCTTTTGAGGATTGGTCTAAAGGGAAACCAAAGGGAAGCCCACCATGTTCGGTGTCCCTAAAAGAGGACCACCACTGCTCACGTTCAAGGGAAGGGAATTCCCTTCTTGGAATTCACTCAAGAAAGAGAATACCTGAAACCCGATCTTCGCACATAAACATGGGAGTTGCATAGGGTCTGGAAAATCAACAAAGGACTGGAACATAGCTGCGTTTCTTTTGGTTTGCCGGCTCCATGAACTCCACCCCGAAACCAAGCCTTCTTGGAAGCTTATTAAGTCGGAAAAAAAACAGTTGCCTAATAAAGTGCAAGTTGTGATGCGACACCAAGATACCGAGCAAAAACAGTGCCAAAGCATGTCAAACACGTGAGCTGCCACCGCGAAACCATAAGGGTCTCCGGTCACCCAAAGCCTTACCCGGACGGTCGCAATATTGTTGCCTGTTGCTCACGCTTTTGCCTTTGCCCGCATGTCTTTGTGTCATGTCGTTGCTTACCTCAAAACCGGTTCAAATAATCGATAGAAACCAACCTTTACCTGGCTAACCTTTGAACAAGTATAGACGGCACTGGCAAACTGCTAGACCCACACCGAAATCAGTGGCATCTTTTTGTCACCAAACCGACCCCAATGACCTTAAAGTGGAACCCAGTCGGAGCGACCTTGCCAGGCCATCGCGCGTTGCTTCTGGAGCGTCTTTTGTCGCTGCCTCGGCTTCTGGGAGGGGGCGGGGGACGTCTAACTTTGGGACATAGCCATGGTCAAAGTTGCGTGTCACATAATACTGCCTCTTAATTGAAGACCCAAAACAAAAAGCTGTCCAGTCTTTGGCATTCATAACTATCCTTTTTACTTGTCAAGTCCCAGACTTGCAATCTTTGGAACAACACAAGGGCTCAGGGTTTGGGCTGTCCCACAGCGCCGAGTACATGGCTGGCTTGGCTTGCTTTGATTTGTTGTCAATCGCAAGAGGTGTTGCGCGTCGACCCCATGTAAAGCGAGCCAAGCAGAAGCGAAACCAACACAGAAAACACATGTTTGGAGTGCCAGTACAGACATCAACATTGTTGTCAGCTGCAAGTTTAGAACAGCCCCCCTGGATGACCAGCGCTTGCTTCAGAACCTGCTGATGGGTTCATTTCGATTCAACCTGGCAAAGCAAGGACTCTGCAGGAGCTGGCCTGTCCGCTCGTGCGGTACTCAAATTCAAGTTTAGTCTTGAGGGTACCTAACACCCTTGCTACAAGCACCGTGGTTTCCAGGTAGAAGAATCTCTAATTGGCTTCTTTTTTGTTGAGTGCCGCAAGCCCCCGAGCTTCAACGATTGAGGTAGCCTGGCGGAAAACCGAGCAGGGCATTGCTCCTTTGGGTGTACACCCGCTCCCCATTTTGGGGGTTCCAGCAAAACATGTCCCCACCCGATCTTTGGGGGTACCTGCCCAAAGACCCCGGACCATGGCCCCGGCTGCAGCATCTTCTGGCGCAACGAGGCGGCGCTGGTGGGGGTGTTCAGGTCCTCTCCGAGCTGCGAATGAGGTGGGATTTTAACCTTGCAAAGCTTTTCTTGTATCCTTGACACTTTCTTTTAACCTTGGATGTTTTGTTGTTTTGTTTTCCTCTTTAACCTTGCCGCACTCTTGTAAAACCAAATCACTTGGCAACCAACGCCTTCCTTTCCAAATCGGCCCTGAACGGGCAAAGCAAAGAACACCAAAGTCCAAATGCCTACCCTTGAGTTTGTCTCCAAAAACAAAATAGATGGGAGTTCAAGCAGACGTCACCTCACTCGCGTGCAATTGAACCGTTGGGATTTTTGGCCAAGCGCCAACGGCTTCAACGTCAACCCAAGTAGCTTCGAGTTGCAAACGCCCAGCTGACATGGAAACAGCCCATAGAACCCAGCCCCCCTCCTCGCCGTCTTCTTCCACACCTGGCACGGCGAGTGACTTCCAAAAGGTCTGGCAAACGTTCTCAAAGTCACCCGTGAAAATATAATATAAATATAGGGATTGCCTATTAGCCTTGTAGCGTTGTGCATCCCCAGCTGCATCAACCTGGCAAGTCTAATTGATGATCATTGATCTTTGTGGTGATGAGCTGTCAATTCGCCCCTAGATCACTTCAATCTGGGTGGGACGCTTTGATGCAGGGTGGATTGCCCACTGCGGCCAATGCCAGCCAAATGACAAACTCTCTCAATTTCAAGGGGCAGTTCCCTCAAATCACGGAAGTGGGAACCAGCCCCTCAGTCCAATGACCCTTTGAGGTGTTGGGCTGCCTGCTTTGCACCTCCCATCCGCCTTCCGTGCTCCATACCCCTCCCTTCCAGCCTCTCGAGGATGCCGTGCCCTGGGGGCTTCAGAATAACACGTCAGACACGATCCATTTCGCACCCGTTGGGATGGATGAAACCCTGGACATATTGGGATACAAGTAAAGGACCTTCCATTTGGTGCAGGATGTTATGCTTTCACAGCATCCATTGCTTTCCAATGGTGGGTTCAAAGTCCAAAATATGTTGCATGGGCCGGCCCTTGACAATGGACCCTCAATGCTCTCGCATACCCCTCTGACATGGTACAAAACGGGTATGTGCTGGATTCCTGGCCTGGTTGACGTACCAGCTGGGGGTGTGTTCCGAGGGGCATGTCACTTCGTGTAAATCCAACGGTGCAGAGATCCACTTCGTGACTCTAGGTGTGGCATCCAAGTCCAAATACCTCCATTTGCTTAAGGCCCCTGGAAAACATAAAATAATTCCAGTAGTGATAGATTCTCTTTAAAACCAACATGGGGAAAAACAAAAACAACAAAAAATCTTAACCAAATGGAAGGATATGTGAGTGCACATATGCATGCCCCGGCTGTGGTTGGGCCGAAAAATGGGATTGTTTGTGCTATGACTCATACATACAGCCTGAGGCTCTGAACCACAGCCTTGGGACCCTCGGCTAACCGAACTTGGAAATGGCGTGTCTGATGTTTGGAAACCACAGTTTCCAGCCCCTCATCGTCAGGGAGGGCCTGTTGAGAAGGCCAATCTGCAATTGCCAAAGTGGTTGCAAGTTTGTTGAGCCCACCAGGCCCCTGGTGACCTGGCTCTGTCAGGACTAGCGGCCTCTCCGACTGGTCCATGCGCTCCGAGAAGCAACAGAAAATTCAAGAAAGAATGGCAACCGCAGGATGGCGTTGGCACCACCCAATCAAGGAAGCGAGGGGGAAACCCTATGTGCAAACGACACCTTCATCGGGGTCGATTTGTCGCAAACAGCCCAAGTTTGCGTGAGGTCTACGCACAGGTACCGATACCTCTCTCCCGCATCTGGGGGCAACCGGCCGGCCGCGCAGCCGAGGTAGGCCGCGGAGGGCCTCGAAACAGAAGCTTTGGGTTCCCATCCCCTCCGCATCTGCACAGGCCATGGGTGTGTCTGTTTTGAGGGTACCCATTTTGGGGTTGGTTTGAAGGGACACCGAATGGACAACATCCATTGATGGGTTTCCCCAAAATGTTCAAACACGCTACGAGTGTGATTTTTGCCCGGAAGGTGTGGTTTT